CCCTATGCATTATTACAGAAAACACCCAAGACATCACAACTACTCATCTATGATCACTGGCAATTGAACAAGACTGCCAGGGCTCCAATAAAGATGATGTTTCCAATTCATATCTCCAAAATCACAGAGTCATCTTAAATATAGAACAAAGACAACATAACACTAGAGATGGGAAAGCATATAAGACCCTAAAATATTGATCTATCAATGTCTTCTACCACTGATTACTCTAAGTTTGAAAGTAAAAGATTTTTATCATGTTAAAACCAAAAGTAGCCAGGAGCTGGCTGCTCCCATCTGTAATACTAACTACTGAGGAGGCTGAAATCTGCAAGACTGTGGCTTGAAGGCAGACAAATCTATGAGGTTAGTATTAACCAGAAAAAAAGCCAGTGCTGAAGGCTTGGTTCAAGTGGTAGAGCAACAACCTTGAGTAAAAAAAGACATGTTTTTTACTTGAGTTCAAGGTCTTGAGTTAAAACCCAGTATAGCCCCCACCCCACCCCGCAAGCAGTTTTTGTTGTTGCTGTTTTCAATACAGAAAAGAAACAGCATCAAATTGGTCTACATGTTCAAACAAAAAATGGTGAGTAAAAAGCATGCCCACTCTAAACTAATTTTCTAAACATGTTACTATGGGTGGTCATATATCTCCCTCACATATTACTTCTCTGTGGAGATAAAAATATGTTCAGTCTAACAAGAACACATGACGTCACATCACCAACAGGTATTTCTCCAGCTGATATCAATAATATAAGACTCATCAATTCTTCTAGCCCAAGTGACAAACATGACCCCTTCCTCCTGACAGTGGTGTCTAGTTCAACAAGTGTGTTCAACTCTTGGATAACATTGTTAATGTCCCTCTCAAACTGCCTTTTTGCATCTGGCAAAGGGAAGGACTGCTTTCTAGTTCTACAATTCAAAGACAGCCTGATTAATGCATGAAAAATACCCTTACACAAAAGCAGAAAAGAAATAAGCTCAGCTGTCACCTCCATCAAAGAGAACAGAGCTGTTTGTGTCCTTATAGCATTCTGTTATAGTTACTATGCCAAGCCCAAATTAGAAATGAGCTGTAACTATTTACCCTTTGTGGAATAGAATAGTAACCTTAAGAACAGTAAAGTAAAATAGAATTTAGAAAAATAAAGTCTAGCCATAGGACTCCCAATTAAGAACATTCATCGCACCTCTCTTGATCTATCTTCATAACTTATGTGAAGCAATGCAAACAAAGCTGGAAAAAGAGAACTTATTTATATTACACAGTAGTACACAAGGTAATATACTTAGGAATACTTTGTGAAAAGGGTCAGCTTGTTGAAATTAATCTGAAAAAAGTATCATAAAATACTTTTTTAAATGGAGTAAAAGAGGACATGAGCCTTCTGGTTCAACCACCAATATATACAATTCTTTCAAATCAATAAAACTCTATACATGGAGGCCAGACACTATTTTTAATACATAGGATTTTTACATTATTTTCTGGAGGGTGAACTGAACCATGCATTCAGGCATACAAGCCAAGTGCCGTACAACTAAGGTATATCCCTACACTTGATACATGACTCTTTTTGTTATTTTTCCCTCTTATTTTTCCTCTTACTAAGGTCTGAATGCAGAGTCTTGCACTTATAGACAATACTATTTCACTCGATCAATGCATAAGAAAAGCCAGCCCTACTTATTTTAGCGATTATGGTTGTGCCATGGCCAGTCTTAGATTGTGATCTTCCTATGTGTCCCTCCTGCATATCCACAAATGAGTGCCACCATGTCCAGCTTATTTGTTGAGATAAAGACTTGCTAACTTTTTCCCCTGGGCTAAATTCCTACCTCCTGAATAACTGAGTATACAGGTATATAGAGCCAAGCCTAGCAACAGGATTGTTGAAAAGCTCTTTTACTTCTGGTCTTAATCAGTAAGAATGGCAATAATGGAAAGCTGCAATAAAAATTATCTTCTGAAAAATTAAAAGACAATGCAATAGAAATGATAGACAAATTATAAAAGAATGTATCATTTAAAGGGATTATAGTGAAAAGTTCATTTAAATTAGTATTGACACATTCACTTTTAAAAAAATCTAACATTAAAAATGTTTTTAAATGGAATTTGAGAGACTGGTCAAATTCTAGACTACAGACAACTCCAAATTCTGTATAAGATTCCACTTAAAGTTCCAATCAGACCAACTATCGGAAGAGAGAGAGAAATAGTGTGTGTGATTTCAAGGAAGAAAATAATATCTTCATAAAGTAAGAAAACTCACATACTTTGCTCTCTGCCGACAACAGAGAAAGAAATATACTTTGCTGTGCTATCAAAGTAAAGAGATTTGCTTTGCTTTAATATTTTTGTTACTCTTCGAAACAGTTAAAGAACCCAGATTATACCATAAGCAATACTAAAGAATAGTACTTTACAGACTTGAAAAACAATGAATTATCATGTTTTCCTCATCACTATATAATAAAAGTTGATAGGATAAAATTTAAATGTATATATAACATACATATGAAACATATATGTATGTGTTATATGTACATTATATATTAGGTGTGTGCATATGCATAAACATTCATATGCACATATATTTATGGAATCAACATACATAGTACTGGACACAGAAGAGCGTTTGAAAATGTACTGGTATTCAAAGACAGCTGAGGAAAAAGAATCTTTACAAAATCAGTGGAAAGTAGGAGAACAATAGAAATGAAAGTACCTAAAATATGAATAGCTACTAACTGGGAAAAAAAATCACACTCCATTTTTAAGTGTGTCAAAACCCTTTAGACAAAGGCTATTAGCAAAATATCTTAGAAAATTATAATATGTGTATCACATAAATATAAGTTGATGTAGAAGACATGTAAGTACTTTTCTGCTTTCACAGTAAGAATTGAAAAACACGAACGTAAACTCCAGAAATTACAGATATAATGCTAAGGCGAGAAATGTAATTGGCAACCTGAAGGCAGCAGTGGTTAAACAACTCTTGGACTACAAAGCTCAAAAAAATAATGGGTAAAGGAAGGTAAAGGCAACTGAAAGAGGGAGGCTGAAACTGCAGACTAGGGGATCCCTAACAGCTTCTGTTCAGAAATCTACTAACCACAAAACTATACAGTCATGTCCCTCTGTAAGATTCCATAGTGTTACAGGGTTATAGGAAGAAGCGATAATATAAAAGAGTACCTCGCATCTCGTACCTGTCTAGTAAGTATAAGAATTAGAGCAGAGGCAATAATAAAAGTGGTTGAAACTTGACAGAGCAAACATATGTGGAAATCTGAGGCGAGAGGTGATGACTTGGGGTGCCAGGTCACACCAGACATTTTGGAGGAAGTGATTAAACATAGAACTTCTAGAGGCAACAACTACAACAAAAATAAATACACAGGCAGGCAGGTAGGCAGGCAGACAGACAGACAGACAGGCAGACAGACAGACAGACAGACAGGGTAGCACACTGAGAATGAGCAATGTGTCGGGAACTGCAGAATATGCCAACAAATCAGAGTAAACGCCAAGGTTTCTGGAGGATTTGAGGGTAGTAGAGGCAGGGTACCACAAACCCAAGGGAGTCATCCTTGGTACTAGCAAACTGAGTCACAGCATTCACAGCAAAGGAGTTCAAAGCAAAACCACTATGACTCTTCCCATATGTACCATCCATCAGCTTGTTCAATATAGAACCTAACCACAGGCTAACCCTTAAGTATGTAATCAACTGTCTACACATTGTGATGCCCTCATATCATTGACTCCTACTGACAACTGACCCTGTCTTTCTTCCTTTTACTATTATCAGGAAATCCACTTAGATTATCTCCAAAGTTAGTAATGACCCTAGTAAGCAGACAAGGGGAAAAGTTGACTTAACAGTTGAGGAATCCAACACATGGCCCTTCCTGTTCCTGAAGAAGGGATCCTCTCCAGATTCCACTTCCAAGTTCCCACATAACTAAAGAATGCCAGCCCACCAGTCCCTCTAAGTCTCAATTACTTGGAAAAAATACAATCTCCTTCAACCACAAAAAGACTCAAGCACTTGCTTTGGCTTTCAGGAGAACACCAAGCGCTTCACTTACTGTTTGTCCACAGAAGCTTTCTGATGGCCTTACTGATATATTTTCTGAGGAAAAGACACTCCAAAATCCACAGTTATAGTATTAGGCAAATCCGCAGCTACATTACCAGGAAGTCGATGGCCAACCCTGGCTACCTCTCAGGCCTAACATCTAGAACAGCCTTTGGATGTCGGTCCCAAAAACACTACTAGACAAGAAGAGCATTAACTAGGAGCAGGAGAAAGAGAAAGATATAAACATATCAAGACTCTGGAACTGTTCCATACAATATTGCTAGAACAGATATGTAAACATCATCTCAGAAGAAGTGGAAAAACATGGAGAAGGTAAGAAAAATTTTAAAAAGAAGGGACAGGGATGTAAGTTAAAAAACTGAAAGGCTGAATCAACTTTCGTTAACGCTTTCCCCCTCTGAGCTCCAACAATTCTAACAGAACTTTAGGAGAGAAAAACACCTGGAGATGGTGTTTTTTTATTCGGTATCTTATTAGGCTAATCTACTATTAGTTTTTCATTGAAGTATTGCTTGGCAATATTTGGAACACTTATTTGATGGCAATGGGGAGGAATCGTTGGATGTTAGTTACACACCAAGATGAAGGATAAAGCGGTAAAAGGGCACTAAGCTATGAGTGAAAAAGTCAGATTTCTAGTCTAGGTTTCTTTCCCATTTTCATTTGTCCATGCACAGCCATACAGTACTTGTGAGGTTTTAATCTCTTGGTTTCTAAAAGAAAAGTTGATCTAGATGATCATTATTAGCCTTTGATAGTCTATACACTATAGGAAATACACTGTGAATTCATGAGTTACATTTTTTTTTCAATACAACAGTGAATACTACCCTGAATATTCCCACACTGGACACCCATTTCCAAAAGACCAGCACTTACCCTCACTTCCAGGTTGCTTGTATGGGTTGTACTTGGGTTTTGGGGCCACCACTGGTGCAAACTTCTTGGGTGGTTGCTGCATAGACACCGAAATACTAGGAGTCCCAAAAGAATGGGTGGTCTCCATCCGTGCAGGGACATGGCCAAGAGGCTCACCAGTGCTTTTGGGTGGCAGCCAAGATGGATGAGACATTGTTGAAATCTGCAATTAAAAAGAAATAAGCACTGCTTAGATACAAGTATGAAAATGAAAGTGTCACTTTGTTGTTATTTATCTTGTCCAAAGTTAATCTTTACGCTGTTCTCTGCAAAGAAGACTGAAACAAGAACCAAGAAAAGATACAAGAATACAAAAGAAGGAAAAGAACAATGATCAGAAAGAAGCAATAAGTGGAGAAGAGAAGAAATGGAAGAAGAAAACAGCTTTGTATTCTTGAATACCTCACTTCTCATAATTTCCTGTTTTAGTGTCTATCTTTCCTAGAAAAGTAAATATGTATAGTTCTCAATTTGAAGAAATTTCTATGTAGCACAATGAGGTAAAGTTTCAATTTTATAAATGGTCTTTATTTATAAAATAGCTACCATAACAATTCCACAGTAATATCTGCATGAAGTAATGCTACCTGATCGAAGTTTGATATCAAAAAGTGCTACTAAGACAAAGAAAAAGATATGATTAATTCTTCCTATGAAGAGAACTACCAGACTTCACTGATGATAAGCTATTCAGACTTAGGACTTAAGTGTCAAATAGAGTTTAGACATGAAAAATATTAAAGTTACACAGGCAAAAAACCTACACAGCACTTATTTAGTGTGGTTGGACATAACACAGAAGAAAGTAGCTGTCAACAAAACTGAAACATATGATGGAACCCAAGTGAGACCACTTCCTGTGAACACTTTGGTCTAAAGTTACTTTGGAGGCATTAATAAAACAGTAAAAGTTCATGTGGATAAAAGTACATAAGGAGACACTTGAAAATGTCCCCTCTGTATGAGCAATTCTCCACTCCAGCGAGGACTGCTTGGGATAAGGCAAGGTGTCCACGAACACTGATTGCTACAATCCCTGATATGCATACTCACATTTAGTGGAAAAATGAATAGACTATGCAATATCTGTAATTCTCAAATCGTCCCTATACAACAAAGAACTTCTCACCAAGAGCTCTCCTGAGCTGATAACACATGCAAAATTTATGAAAAACGAACCTCAACTACATGGGAGACAAGCAGCTCATCCTGGATGCTTGTTCTGATTAGATCACATACACTGTGTGAAGAAAGAAGCATGAGCTCTCCTCTATCAAAGTCTGCCAATCACTCCTCTAGGCAGCCTGCCTGCTGAGGGTGAGCCTCATGGATTTCTGAGGAGGGCTCTCCAAGCCTGATTGCAAGAGCTCTCCAGCACAGGGAGGCCCGGAAGACGCTTTGCAGCCACTCCCAGCCCCAAATCCACCCAGTAATTTATTAATTGAACTGAATTAATTAAGAGGGGTACATGATTACCTCCAGATGTCTGTGAAGACTAAGAACATGGGAAATGCAGGCACAAATGAAGGTCTCAGCACATGGCATAACAATGGGAGAAGGAGAAGGAAGGTTAAATCTAGCACTGCAAGGAACTAACACCAGTCTAAGCCATGGATGAGTGGCATGAGTTAGAGGTTGCTCCTCCAGTCCCTTGAATGACTCCAATCTCTCAATATTCTGAAATAAAGCTCCTTGTCCTTCCTCCTCATCCCCCAGGGCTTTCAGGACAACTGCTGAGATGATATTAAAGTGCTTGTGTATTGTGCTTTGGAAAGTAGGGGAAAGGAATGTCTCCATTGAACATCACAGGACCGGGCTAGGAAGCTGGCTCAGTGGTGGAGTGCTTGCCTTGCATGCATGAGGCCCTGGGTTCAATTCCTCAGCATCTAAGCAGAAAAAGCCACACGTGGTGCTGTGGCTCAAGCGGTAGAGCGCTAGCCGTGAGCTGAAGAGCTGAGGGACAGTGCCCAGGCCCAGAGTTCAGGCCCCACAACTGACCAAAAAAAAAAAAAAAAAATAGGAAGAAGAAGAAGACTTTAGAAAATCACACGACCGTCTCTTCAAGAACAATAGAGGCAGTTTCATCAATAAAAGATGATTCTAGAAACCAATGAAGAAGACCCCAACTGGGAATCAGGCCTAATGACATGGACACAATGATAGCTTCTTTGTCCCTCTGATCACATGGACTGTTCTTTTCTTTTCCCCACCCTATCCCTGCCACATGTCTGTATACATATGTATATAAACTTTAAAACATTTTAAGTAGCTTGAAAAGGTAACCACTATATTTCAGACGACTTTAAACCACTAAGGTACACCACAAACCCAATACAGAAAAACAATAAATAAATGTTGCTTTTAGTCAGAATTTTTCAATCTGGTTGCAAATTTAGGCAAGAGTCCTTAAATCTGGAAACATTTGGAGAAAAAAAAATTAAGCCAAGTCCCATCCCTCAGGTTTGAGAAATACCAATTTTGTTTTTATTTTTAAATGTGTCTCTGTTTTCTACTAAATGGGAATAAAAGTAACTCTTGCTTTCAGCATGACTAATGTAACTAGAAATGGGGAATAAATAGGATCAAAAAGGTTTTAAAGTTTTAATGCACTATGCACATTTGTAGTATAAAAATTAATTATAAATTTTAGATGGGTTAATACTATCCTTGTAACTTTTCTGCAAATCAAAATTTACCCAAAGCAGATGCTTTTAAAAATGGATTAACATAAAATGCAGTAGTTTCTAAACACAAACATGAACATTTCCAGAGCAATCCTGTTGCTTGCTGACTGTGCCATACTGACCTTTCTAGATATACCATAAATACAAAGCAACGGACAACTTCTGAGTGAGCATAGAAATGAAAATATGCAAACCATTGGTTCCACTGTCAGGTGAGGTACTCCAGCTCCATGAATTACTCTGCTCTTCCTCTGGTTCTAGACAAGTTTTACTCTAGGCTTATAATCATCATGAAATCAAGAAATGAAATGGTGTTAGGTGAAATGAACCCCAAGATACGGATTCAAATGTTTTTTCTTTCATGCGATTGTTTCTAACATATTTATAAGATGATTTCTTTGTTGCTTTGTATGTCCCTCCCCCACAATATAACCCCTGCTTTCACTGTATTTGATGTTGGTATAATTTGTGGAGGGGAAGGGGAACAAATCGTTTAAATAGGGATACAGGTGGACCGATTGCAACAATGAGATGTACAAGACGTTATGTCAAAAACGAACTTTACAACTTTGGCCGGGGGGGGGGGGGGGAGGGGGGAAGGGGAAACAAAAGAAGAGGCAACAATGCTTGACAAGAAATGTACCCATTACCTTGCCCATGTAATTATAACCCCTCTATATGGTATTTTTACAATTTAAAAAAATGAAATGAAATGGAAGAATCCTAAAGAGGCTCTGAAAATATATAGAACTCTATCAAAGAAAAGCCAACATGAAATATGGCCCTCCAGTAAGCAAGATGCTTATTGCTGATGGGAATGAGGAAGCTATGGTATCCCAGCCACTGTTCTTTCAGAAACTATGTCAGATGTGAAGAAATAGAAGGTTCACTTAGCTTCTCCATTACTCCTGTTACCTCCCCCATCTATGGGGGTGAGAATAGGAATGCCAAAGATTGTTTACTGAGGACATACTGGATGATTTTTCCAATGGCCACTTAGTGCTTCCATGTCCACATTCCCATATGAAGTAGCATTGCTATTAACCACAACTATCAAATCTGAAAATAAGTTTCAGCCAGGTGCTGGTAGCTCATACCCATAATCCGAGCTACTGAGGAGGCTGAGAACCTAGTATCACAGTTTGAAGCCAGCCTGAACAGACAAGTCCACGAGATTCTTATCTCTGAGTAACCAACAAAAAGCCAGAAGTGGAGTTGGGGTGGCTGGTAAAGTACCAACCTGAGTAAAAAAGCTAAGGCATAGCATCCAAGATCTGAACTTAAGGCCCATTGCAGGGAGCATGTAAATTTGGAGCTGGGGTATTACTCAGTGGTAGATCACATGTGCAAGACCTTGAGTTTGTTCCTCAGAGCTGCTCCCATTAAAAAAGAAAAAAAGTAAGACTTTAAGAGGCTGGGTAAATTACTTGATACACAACTATAAATAACTGCAAAGCTAAGACAATCTTTGTCATGGATTTTTTTACCTGAAATTTATAGTTTTTAAAAATAGTAGTTTTAATTTTTTTAATAATCTCTATTCTTTTCTCTTGAATCCAAAGTAGCTATAATGTAGTCTGTGTTCTGTTCCAGCAAATCTGCCAAAAATAAGCCTGAAGACAGATGTCAACAGACCAAGGTATATCATAATGTAAATGACTAAAATAATAACATAATGTAAATGACTAAAAAAGTTCATATAATGACCAAGACCTTACACAGATAAGTGAAAAGACTTGGGCCACAGTCATGTGACAGCTAATACTAGCAAAGATACTAAGCCTCTTTAAAAGTCATTCACAAAAATAGAATATATGGTATTTGTTCATATTCTCTTACTTCTCTTCAAATCAATACACCATTCAATAAATATCTATATAGGTAACCAAATTTTTAAAACAACTAGCAGTGTTGTCAATATGTATCACAAAGTGCCACAAGCTTAAAACAGTGATTTTCAAAACTACGTACAAAAAATATGGAATCTTTGAGTCTACATCTTTCTTTATTATTACAGTGTTGAGGATTGAATTGAGGGTCTTTGCATGCTAGACAAGCACTCCACAGTTAATCTATGTGTCTTAGTCTATTATGTATACATTCTGATTCAAAAGTTGAAAGTGATTTGCGTAAGGCATTTAAAGTTAATTTCTATTGCATTGGTTCTTCGATCTCTCTTGACAAGTAACTCAAGGCCTGGCTTTCTATAAGTGTTTTCTGAATAAATGAACAATATTAAACTAAGGAATGGAAATTACTACCATTATTTTAGTGGTAGAAGAAATGGCAGACAGACACTGGGACTTAAGTAGCTGAAGGCAACATTTTCTTCATTTAATCAAATGACACATTCCCCAAACTTGCAAGATTTTTCTTGAACTCTTCTCTGTATTTGAAAGTGAACCGATTTTTGGAATTAAAAAAAAAAGTGTTTTCTAATCATTTATAAGAATGGCACGCTATGCTTTCCTGTTTTCCT